TGGACAATAAATTATGTGATCACAGTAGTATTGAATCATCCATTATGATGTTGATGGGGAAAAGAAGGAGGAAAAAACTTCAGATGGATCAAACAGCAAGTCAAAAGGCAAAGAGGAATAAAATCCCATGGTATGTTTGGGGAAAAACTATGCATCTTTCTCTTATGTGCTCAAAAGAGGGCATTTTCCCCCTTTTCCTATTGTTTGAATTGAAATGGGAGTATGTTCTAGAAGATCTCTCATGAACTTTTCTGTTTGCATGTTTAACTTATTTTTCTTTCCAGGAATGTGACTATTATGCAAAAACCTTTTTCTATATTTATCCTTCATTTTCCATTTTCATTTGATCAGTTTTATTTCTGACAAAGTACTATTTTCACATCACAGAGGAAGAGAGGGAAGTTAAAAACCAATTCATACATTTCATTATCTGTCTTCTAACCAGTTAATATTGAATTAGAACATACAATGTGCTTGGACTTTGTGTATGTTCCAAGAAACAAGTATTTAAAGAGAAAGTAACCAAAATTAGAAAGATATTATTTCTGCCTTTATAACTATTCAGGGGAAAAAGAATGGAATATGCTGAAATAATAAAGAAAATCTTAACCAACTTGCATTGTTTTAAACAATAGATTTACATTATTACTCATGCGGTAAAGACCATTTCTGATGGAATTATTTCCCTTAGGTATTTTTTACCAGAAAGTTATAAATTTAGAACAAAGAAATAATGCCTAGCACTATGCATATGTATGAAAATAACACAGCCATCAGCTGAGTCCCACAAACACTTGAGAAGACCATTTTATCACACAAGAAAGAACAGTAGACTTGACTTCCATGACTTGTTAATTGCCAGTTGCTTTTGTCTTAGCCCTTTAGGGTCAAAGAACTCAAACCACTGATTCTATGTATAAGTACCAAGAATATGTAGAATATAGGACACACATGGTGTGAAGAGATGGGGAAGGGCGTTCCTAGCGATTTGGTTACAGGAAAGGTGAATGCAGGGAGAAGGGGCATCCAGCTCCCTTTTCTGCCCCTTGCCTCATTTGCTTCTCTGGCTTCAGAGAGCTGTCCACTCCCATATGGGAAGTTAAGATCATACTACAGCAAGCCCTTTGCTCTTTTCCCAGCCTAGTTAATATCAAGGTTTCTCATAGCATGAATTTGGTATTCTTTTCCACAACTTTTCTCATGAGCAGGTGATATGAGGTCTACAGATTTTCAGAGAGGGTTTTTAAAATTTTTGAAACTATTCAAAATGTCAATAAACTTAGAAGGAGCATTTATGTTTGATACAGTTATCTATGACTCTGATTTTCTGACCTCATATAACGTAAACGAAACTCATCTGGAATGCTAGTTTGATAAAATAACCAATAATTTTTTCCTCTCCTTCTTAGGCCCTCACCTTCCCTTCCCTTGACTCTTGTCTTCTAACTGTCTTCTCTGGTCTTCTAACTAATGTAGCTGCTTGAAGTCTCTTCCCACTTCAGTCCATCCCTGGGCTGCCGCCCAAATGATCCTTCTACTCCATGACTTGATTATGATCCAGTTTACCGCTTTTTGATATAACTACTTTTCCAGCCTTACACCTTTTCCCATTCATAACTTATGCCTTTGCAGAATTTCAGCCTTGGGAACTTGCCCTCTCTCTTAAGCCTCCCCTGACTCCATGAATTTGTCAGGCTCTCCTCTGTGATACTACAGCAGTGACTGGATACTGGATATTGGAGTTCTTGTTCATCTAAAGATCATCATCATTGCTTAGCAAATTGCCTATGTGTATTCAGTAAATTAAAAAAGGTAACTGAATTACTTCCCATTTGGGCAGAGCTTTCTTAAATCAAAATCACTAGCCCTAACAGGTTCTATTGCCTCCAAATGATGACTTGGATGTTTGAGGCCACATGTGGCTAATCACGTATTTCTGTAGATAGGCATAAGAGGATGTATGTGCATAAGTGTACCAAGGCCAAAGATATAGGAGATTCCCTCTAAAGTTGACTAGGTGAAATAAATTTGATTTTTGATAAATACACAAATCACCATAAATCACTTTCATATAAATATGTTTTATTGCAGAGAAGTTATCATTATTTACATGCTGTAACACATCACAACATAAATTTACCCAATATTTTTCATGGTGGGATGCTGTAGGTTTCAGATAATAGTTCCATAGATAAATAGAACCACAGATTAAGTGAAGAGACTTACAGCTTTATTGACTCTACAACTCTCGGTTGCTAAATGCTAGAAGTCAAAAGGCAGTGTTTCTCAGTCCTACCTGTCACCACTTGCATGCAGAAACCTAGGAAGCAAATACAAGAGAACTGTCGAGTTTCAAATCCATATTGCCACCAAAGTTTACAATGGGCTGAGTTATAATTTATGTCGTAAAGCATTTAATTCTTGCATAAAATATACAGTTCTATTAAGATTGGTATAAATCTACTTATTTATAAACCCTGGCTTAAAAACAAGGACAGGATGCAGCCTGCACATGCATTGAGAAGGACAACCTAGCAAATGTTTGTGACCTTAACAGTGTTGATTCACTTTCTTATTGTTATCGATCTAGGAAAATAACCTCAAGAATTGTAGATTTAAACTTCTCTTGGTGATAAGTAATGGCAATGAAACTCTAGGAAAGACCCGAGGCACTCTCACTGATTTATGCTGGTGGAGAAAATCTATGGACTGTAGAATGTCACTAAGGTATAATTTGGCAAGTCTTCTTTAAGCCACATCTCTAGCAGGATCATCCTGAAGTGCAATAAAAAGTCACCGATGCTTGAACTGCTTATTTCTTAAAAAGTGAATAAAGTGCTAACAGACCTCGAACATAAATGAAACAAATAGGTGGGCCTGGAAATTCCAAACCAAGTTCAATATAAATATGCCTTAAAGTTGTGTTCTAAGGTTAACAAATGGAGAGGCCTTGACTGAAAAGGAAGAAAAGAAGGAAGTAAATGAAGGAAACACAGAAAAATAGAATTTCTATATCTCTTCACACCTACCCCACCAACCTGAGTAATGCACAAAGCAAGCGAATGGGTGAGGAAGATGGATGCACAGCTTTGCAAATGGTGACGTGCTCACTTACTCCTGAATACAAACCATTGAGAAAATTTTGATGATGAATAAGGAGAAGTCCTAGTTTCTAGTTTCCACTGAGAATGGTATTTTCTCAGAACAGCCCCGTATCTACCTTCTGATTCTCTTTTCTTATCTTTTATCCTCCTAGCATGTTCTCCTTGCTGCTCATGAAATGAAAAGCCATTATTTAGGCTGGAAATGTCCTGGCCAAAGAAGACGTTGATCCTTCACTGTGTCTAGCACGAGAGAAAGGGAAGTCTGCATTTTATTCTTAAGCGATTCATCTTTAAATAAAATGAGACTGAGCTTTGGAATGGAATCTCTTTGCATGATCACATCAGTAGGGCTAAGTCAGCAAAGTCAGCAGCTTAGGATTCTCATGCCAAGTGATCAGGGTGGAAGGCAGTACGATTTACAAATTTTGCTCTGGGGGCTGTTTTGCTTTGCAAATAAACCTTGCATTTTCTATTTTGAGCTGGGTGGCTCACAATGGCAATTTGCAGGACTTGTAAGTTTTCCAGTGCTTGGGAGAAGGAAGAGTCCACACCACCTTATAGGCTTTGACTGTATCAGGTTATAAACCTCTTTGGGATTTAAGCCCAGCAAGTGTTACCCCTAGCTGAAGCAATGAATAAGAGCTATGAGAATAAGTAGTTTAAGGTAATTTAAAATATATATTCAGTATGCATAATAAAAATATATCCATACAATGATCTTGATGCTATCATAATTTTTCTCTTTAAAAAAATACTCCCTTAAAAGTGCTATCAGTAGCTCCCTTCCTGTCTGTGTTTTGAAAGGCAAATTCCCTGGCTTTGCAGTACTGTGGCAATTCTCATGTCGTTCCTAGAGTCTTCCCTTTTCAGTGGTAATAACATGCGCAGTGTGTTTTTCGCACTCTTAGCTTCTTCCTGGCGAAATGCTGCTAAGTATGAAATACTGAAAGAGTTAAAAGGGACAATAAATTGGAATGAAGGTGTTACCTGTCTCTGACTCTGAACAAACAATAGGTAAGTTGTCCTTTATTGAGACATATGACTAAGTAGGACCGCTCGATCTCTGAGTCCTAACAAGAAGTGCAAAACAAGTAACTCAACTTGTATAAAAAACCCTGATTAAGACAGTATAACAAACCATGATGCGAAACAATAGAGTCAAATCCAAATTCACAATATATAAACCACAGCCAAAACTAAAAGATTTTATCGTAATGGTTATGGCTTCCCAAGCCAGAGAAAGCTTACTATACTTCAAGGATCAACTAAAGTCGATAAATAGCAGGTATTCTGTAACTTGCAATAACAACTGAGTAGCTGCGGATTGCATAAATGTGTTGTGTCACGTAATATCAAAGTTATTTGCAAAAATTATACAATCTGGAATGCTTGAATATGAGACACAACAATGTACTGAAACATACATTTATAAGAAAATGAGAGCAATCATTAATATAAAAGGTATTTTTGGGATGCATTAAGTTAGCAGTGCTATCAAGGTTAAATAGGTAAAGTAAGTTCAGTTAGCTACTTAGAATTTCGGTCATATAGATCTATACCTTCTTCTTTGCAAAATCTCATACCTCTTCTGTGTCTTCTGGTTGGCCTTGCTTAGGATCTTCAAAGTGCCATGGGTAAATACTGATCAGGGGCAGACAGTGAGGGCGACTCCCGCTGACCATGCTGAAATGTAAGGATTCTCCTCGTGTTCCCAGGGGAAAAACTTCCCCTGGCCAGTCTAATTCTTCCACTTTGCTGTTGCTCTGCCCTCCCGGTCTTCTTCCACCCGTGCCTTTCAGATTTCCCTCAACTGACAAACACTCCTTCGGAATTTTTGATCCTTCCATCTTCTGTCGAATTAAGGGTTTCTTCCTTCTCCTTTTCTTTCTGGGGATGCTACACTCTAAAAGTATCCCACACCTCTTATTTCCGAGGCCCTGCCATCTTATTTGCACTTAGAGTGCAAGAGGCAGGTAAAGCTACACTTCTTTCAGCATTTGGTTGATTTGGGGTCTCAAACTCCCAAGGACACACCTCAGCTCGTGATGTTAAAGGCTGCTGAAAGTTATTACTTGAGTTATAGCAGCCGGGCGCATTTTCCTCAGGGGAAGATGTCTTTTTATTCTGGTCTCCCGTTGGGTTGAGATTTTCATTCTCGATTTTTGATGCTACAACTTTGGGGGGCAGTTCTTCATATTGCCCAGCACACACACTGGCTGCATAATGCTGACCGCCGTTCTCATCTTTGGCTCTCCCTGGGGGAACCTGAGTCTTGGAAATCAAAGGCTTCTCATCTTCAAAACCAGGCTGACCTTGGCTCTCCCAAGGGTATACCTCAGCCTTGTCTATGCTCTTCTGATTGGTTTGCTGATACAGTTCAGCTGCCTTGGGCTTCTGATGAGATTTCTCCTTTAAGGAAAAAGTTGGGTTTTTCTCCATTTCAGAAGCTGCAATAGATACGTGTTTTTGAACTTTTGATTCTGAAGGCACGGGACCAGGGGCCAGGTCATAAATCTCCCAAGGGCACACTTCCCCTATGTCAAAGTTGTTCTTCATCTGGGTGGTGCCTGGGCTCATGTCAGAATTGGCAGTGGGCGGGTTGACCCTTTGTTGCTTCATAATCCCAGATTTCTGAGGTTTTCTTGGCTCCTCCACATGATTGGAGTTTTGGGGGGCAGAATCTTTAGTCTCTGTGTTATCTGAATTTGAGTATTTTCTGTTTGTTTCTTTATCTTTTGGCAGAGGTTTCTGGGATTTAGCACGATCTTCCATGCCTGATGTTTGGGTTTTCCCAGCTAATCCAAGAGTCTTCTCCTTGGCACTTGCTATGACACTGAGAGACTTTTGCAACATGGATGTTCGGGGGTGGCCCGGCTTCTTCTCTGAGCTGAGATTGTGAGCGCTTGCTGACTTACACACCAAAGGCACAGACTCTGTGGACTCGGCCTCACTGTTTTCTTTCAGTTTTTGTGTTAGTTTTTTACTTGACAGAGACTCCAGTGTGGAATGTTCTGTAGCCTCCTCTTCTTGGCTTTCCACTGGTAAACTGTTGGACTCTTCCGTGTGCTCCCTCACATGATCGTAAGTGCTGTGCGATTTCTTTAGGGAGAAGACCCGGTTTTTCAGGGACTCCTCTTTGGGCTTCCCAGTGTTACCTGAAGACTCTTGTGGGCTCTTCCTGGCCAAGGTAGTGCTTTTGGCTGTGCTATGGTCTGTGACTTCCTTGTCCTCTTTGGAACACTGCCTGCTGACCGCCTCTGGGATCTCAGTTATACGCCTCATGATCGAACGGCCTAAGCCCTTCTTGGAGCACCGCTTTTTCTGGAGGTGGGGGTTATTTGTAATCATCTTCTTCCTTTTATATATTTCCAGCTGGGCATAGAGTTTCTTCAGCTCATCCTGCCAGAAGAAGAGCAAATTCGCAGAGATGTGGAACTCAGTGGTTCAGCCAGATACTATTACGAAATGTAACCTGAAGTCAGTAAGCTCGAGCTCTTTAGGGAAACTGCCCTACAGCTTTTCACACCATGTGTGCTCATCAACCTTCTCCTCATTCTTACTTTTCTGACAAATCTGTGTTCTGTCACACATGGAGTTTGAACTTTAAGACAGGAACACATGCATCCTGCACTGGCTTCATGGAGTGAGCCCTTTGGACTTACAATTTGTGTGGGCCGGACTCGACCTGGACAATAACAAATCACAGCATATTGTCCACTGACAAACCATATCCCTAAACCATATTGGAAGCATCATGTAGCCACTGATAAAATTACCCCTGATGTTGGGTTAGGTTTAGGGGACAGCAGACTATCAATTACTAAAAGCAGCTTCTTAGTCCAAATGCTGATGTACTGCTCGCAGATCTATACTTCCTTTCCATCAGCAATATGTCATAAACCATAGTAGGGAACATGTATCACCTTCTGCTATATTATTTGTCCTGAGTACTTATATCTATCTAAAATAGTAAAAGTTCATCATTATGACTGCTCATAAGTCAGTTGAGACTATCAAGATTGGTCTGTGTAATTCCTACCATGATGTGTGTTTTAGAATTGGGTTAACTCTGCATTTGATATTTTCAGTTCTCACACACACACATTCCCCCTCTCTTTTTCTCTCTGGGCATGTGTGCACACAGGTGAGCATACACATACATCAGCCCACACATGCTTGCCTGTGTGCACGAGGTGAGCCTGAAATAGGAAGGCTGAAATACTGGCATTACCCGAATGTCCTCCGGGTCTAAGCTGTGCTCACTCCACGCGGAGTTGATGCTGCTGTTCAGGTAGGACCCAGACCGGCCCAGGTCTAGCTCATCTTCATATGCTTCTGTAGCAATGTCATCTCGGGGGTTATTGCTTGAATGTGAAAACTGCAATAGAGACACAATGTGAGCTGCAGACATTAACCCACTGGCAGACAGAGCAGAACAATTTTATAAGGGTTCTAATGTTCACATCATTTCTTCAGCTTAGATTAACTCATTTACCAAATTCCTTATAAAAGATTTGCTGTTATATTTGTGTTTTGCTTTTCATGTTACACGCTAGAGCTCTTGGGCCATCTTGATATGTGGTTCCTTCTCCGACTCCTATTTTCATCCTCGTCTTTTCTCCGGGCTCCCAGTGGTCACTTACATTACTCCTCATACATGATATTTGCATTCTGAAAATGAAAATAAGTAGAAAAACCCACACAAATGTTCTCCAAGCAATTTAGACCCCCTGGCAGCTGGAGGGAAAGATTTTTTTTGAGCAGTAGGGTCTACCTTGTGTTTGTCATTCTGCATCACACAGAGGAGGCTGTATGTCACCGAGGGGTACAACTGGCCCTGATCACAGACAGTGACTTTGAGTCTACTACACATGGCTCCAAAAAAGCTGCCTCCAAGACCTAGGGGACAGGAGATCTGAATGCTGGCATCAACTGCGTTGACAGTGAGACTGGAAACAAATCACGGGAGCTCTCTGGAGCGCCGTGCTCTCTCAGCCTAAAGTGACGATACCTACGTTTAAAATTCAAAATCTTCACTGAAATTACAGAATTTTTTTCTCAAGCTCAGGATTCTCAAGTTCCTCCCTCATCACATTTTGAGGAATTTTTATTCTTTTCATATGGCCTTTGGATAGTTTTCAGTTTCGCAGACTCTTGCTATCTCTATTCTTCATCAAATGGAGACGTGGAGAAGTGATTCGGACAAATGATGGAAAGCAGGGAGACGCAAAACAATCTCGCCACTTCACACAACATATAAACCAACTGACTGTCCTATGAAAACTGAGAGAATGGTCTAGGGAACATGGGTTCTCTTCTCCCAGCTTGTCATCAGGTCAAATATTCCTTTAAAAAATTAACAGATCACCCTTTCACGATACAGAGCTATTTTACTGTCAATGTTTGTTAAAATATTTAAGTGGGCAGGTGAACATAATATAAGTTGTGAAACAGCAATTCTCTATGTAAGGAATCATGAATGTTTTGTAATTGGAACTGAGAAACCACAGAAACGGGTAAATCTTTCCTTCACTCTTGTACTACATCTGTGGTTCCAACATGTGTCAGGAATTTAAGGCTCTAAAGATGAATAAAACACAGTCCTCTCCTCCAAAATCTCAAATGCTACTAGGAAACCACCCAGAGGTTATTTATAAGAGTGGAATTGTTCTTCTTGAGCGCAGTCTCGGAGATGATCTTGAGTTTAAGAAACACTTGTCAGATATTGCCCATTTTCTGCTTTATTATTTGTCCTGAGTACTTATATCTATCTAAAATAGTATTTTAAATATTTATCTTATTTATTTCTTCTGTTTTCCCTTCCTCCATGATATAAGTACTACAAGAGCACATATTTTTATCTGTTCATTAGTCTTATTCCAGGATATAGAACCGTGCTTAGCAAAGCGCCTCAATGATTTTGTTAAATTATCTGAAGTGGAGGTATAATTCACATACCATAAAATTCTCAAATTTCAATGGTACAATTGAGTGATTTTTGGTATTTCACACTGCTGTGCAACTATCACCACTATTTAATTCCAGAATATTTTCATCACCCCAAAAAAGAACCTTAAACCCATGAAAGCAGTCACTTCCATTTCCCCTCTTCCCAGCTAGTGGCAATCACTTACCTACTTTCTGTCTCAGCAGAGTTGCCTGTTTTGGACATTTCATATAAATGGAGCCACACAAGATGTGGCCTTTTGTGTCTAGCCTCTTTTACTTGGTGTCATGTTTTTGAGGTCTGCACTAGTTGTAGCACGTATCAGTGCTTCATTCCTTCTTACTGTTGGATAGTGTTCCACTGTGTAAATACATCACATTGTGTTTCTACAGTTGATGGACATTTGGGTTGCTTCTATTTTTCAGCTATTATGAATAGGGCTGCTAGGAACATTCATGTACAAATCTTTGTATGAATATGTGTTTTCAATTCTTACAATTGGATGAACAGTCTGGGTATACAGTACATCCATCTAATCAAAATGTAATCGTATAATGCAAAGTATGAAAATGGGTAAGATAAATTGCAGTAACAGACTACTCCATGAAAACTGTAGCTATCTGGTATAATTCAAGTAAGGAAGAAAATAGGCATTTTGCTCTTTTTACATTTGTTTGCCCTTTCAATCAGGCTGAATTTCAATGTTTTGCTTGTGAGAGGAGGTAAAGCCTGGGGTGAATGATAAGCAATCACAAATTCTTGTCTCAGCTGTGCTAATATTATATTGTGTGGTACTAATACAGATATATAATGTTTTTGTTTTTCTATGTGTAAATGAGGAAAATAATAATAATGCTCTAACTTGTATGTTTTTTCCGCACACTCTGATATCATATTATTTCATTGTAAGCAGCTTTATTGCTACCATGTCATAGATGAAGAAACTGAACCTCAGAGAGATGAAGAGTCTTGGCTAGTGTCATACCGTATAGCTAGTATGGGTGGAGCATATATTCATAATCTCTGTATTCTGAGTGCTGGCCCATTTCCCCCCACTGTGGTATGCTTCTAGGTAAGTTTTTGCCAGAATCTATCATTATAAAGCAAGATTTTTCTATACACAATATTATAACTATTTATATAAAAATTTTCTGAATGTTTACAACACAGTGCTTCCTGAATATAAATCCAAACAGGAGGGTTCTTAGAATAGGATAATTTTCTTTAAAAATTATTTTGATGTTACAGCCACAATAAAAGTTACCTTGAATCCATAATTAAATCATATCTGTATATCAAAATATTTGAGAAAGAACCAAACCAGATGATGGGCTTTGTACAAATTGAAGCATTTAAAAATTACATGGGATGTTTAATAAATCCTAAAAGAAAAGAGACGTTTAGTTCCCTGAGGAGGGAGCTTTAAAAACATTTTATGTGTCAAGCAAATCTCCACACCTCCCTTTCCCTATATTGCCAGATATTTTTTTAAAGGAGAAACAACTCCATGCTTATTTAAAATAACTGTCTTGCAAGAGAAAAGTAATGTTAAAGGAATACCTTTGGAATCAAAAGCAACCCAATGGTGACTGTCACAGTCAAATGAGTATGTGCAAAATATAGCATTAGCATCCAGTCAGACTGAAGTCTTGAGGCAAGAACGAATCTGAAATGAGAATTCACCAAGTTAGTAATCCAACAAGATCTCTATTTAAAACACTAGGATACTTGGAATCTTTTTTCCTCAGTGTATTAAAAGCAAGCAAGCAAGCATGAGAAAAGTTGTACCATTGTTTCTGTGGCATACATTTTCATCACAGAATAGGCCTTAAGTAACCCTGATTGGATGCATAAGACATGAACTCTTTATTATTTATTATTTTAAATTATCAGTAGTAAGAAAGACAGCATATAGTTATATAATGTGCTAATCATTTCCTGGAATAATTATTTTGTATGTAAATTGAATGTCTAAAGTAAAAGCAGTGAACACATGTGAATTCAAAAGAAGAACAGATTTATAAACTAGTGGCTTCAGGCAAATTTGGGTTATAAGATACAGCCACCTAATTCTTGATTCTAATCTTTTTCCTTTGAAACATTAATTAAGAAAATGTTAAGAAAAAAAAGAGTAGGTAATTATCTGCCTTTGTGAATGGCCTCAGAGACTTAAATGATAATGCAATAGATAAAATGAATATACTAATGGTTTGTAAAACATATTTTTTAAAATAAAAATTTTAGTTGTTGTGCAGTATCAAATTGTTTTAAAATAATTTAAAATCATATTTTGCTGAGGAATTCATAAAATTGTTCTAGGACAGTCCTGTAGAGAAACATGTACAGGAAAAATTCAGTACTGATACCTACTCTGGTGATTTTGGAATATTTTCATAAATCAATAAGTATATGTACAAACTAAAACTCAGGTTTTAAGGACTCATTCTTTTACAGAAACCAGGTGATGCTTTTATTAAGGTCATTTTGCAATCATATTCTTCTTTTAATTTTTTTCCATGCATTGTTTATCCATGAAAGCTAAATATGAGATTTTATTGTGTTTGGAATTAGAGAATTAGCATTTTTAAAAAAAGATTTATTTATTTATTTATTTATTTGAGAGAGAGAAAAGGCGAGCAATGGGAGGGGCAGAGGGAGAGGGAAAGAAGGAGAGACGCAGACTCCCCGCTGATTGCAGAGCCCCATTGTGGGGTGCATCTCACCACCCTGAGATCAGGACCTGAGCTGAAATGGAGAATCAGATGCTCAATCAACTGAGCCATCCAGGCATCCCTAGAGAATTAGCATTTTGATTCAGTGATCTACATCATCATATTTGAAAAGCTAACATCTTAAGAAAATGCTTATGATATAATCATAAAACACATGAATCTACAAATAGAAGAAACTAATTTTATACCTGCATTATGCCATATTCACGACAAATTTACTAAGTAAATTAGTATTATTAATACTTAAAACAAAATTTCCATCAAGGGGATTTCTTCCTCATTTTCACCTCCATCCTGTCCCCTGTCTTCTCACCTTCTCCCACCATCCCCCAAAATCAAGCTAAAATGGAAGCTCAAGAGTTGTTCAAAATGGAGATAGTTTCCTCTGTGTTTGGAGACATAAAATTGCCTTAAAATATATACACAGAAGTACAGAAAGTTCATGCTAGTTCACCTATAACCAAATAGGATTTTGTGAATCAACATATTCTCTAACTCCTTAGTGAGAAATGTGGCTTTATACCTGCCTTGAATATGACTAAATGAATATTTACTTTGTTCAGGGGTGACATACTTTTGACAGATCCTGTGCTGGGTCAGGTGAGATTTTTTTAAGCACTGAAATCGGATCATCATACTCAGTAACAAGTAACAGTACCTGAGGCATAGTACTGAGGCATAGAAGCAATATAAAATTGTGACCTGGAAAATTATATAATCCAAATCTGCTGGGGTCATTCCCAGTACTGGAGCAGAGAGTTATTTCAAAGGAGATGGATTTATATTCTAAAAGTGTTCTCATGCACTGGAAATTTCTATCTCAAATGCCAACACAAGTGAACTTTAAGCTAGCCTGACAATATCTGTAAGGAACAAGGGTTACATATATTTTAAATTAAAATGTTGAGTCTTCCAAAAAGTTTATTTGAAGTACTACATACTAACATCAATTGCCCTTAAATTAATCAGCGTTTAAATACTGCTAGGTTAGGTTGCAGTTCTGCGTAGAAATATCTTAAGAAAAATTGGGTTTTGCAGTCTTCTTAAAGATTTTTCTTTAAAAGACTATTTCAACTTCTAAAAAATAGATCTAACAGTCAGGAACATAGAAATAGTTAAAAATTGAGGTTAAGAATAAAAGTAAACTTTTAAAAGTCTTGCACTTTCCCAAAGCTTTGCTCTACACTTAGTAAAGGATTATAGAACAGATTAGGCAAAATGCCTTCTGCATTATTAGACTTCTAGACTTAATCCTTTTAGTTTATTTTTGTTTGATCTGGCAATTTGGTGAGAATAAAAGTAAATCTATATATAAATATGTAGTCATAGCTTTAAGTTTACATACTTATGTATGTATATACGTATACAGTTATGTATATATAATTTTATATTTTAAGTGAACCAGAACAAATATATATGCTTATTGACAGTGAATATATTTGCTGACGTTGGATGCCTTATTTAATATTATTGAATTCTAGTAAAAAATTACACAGATGGGTCCAGTTGATTTATATTATGTTATTGCTTCCTATTCTTGGTCTTTTATCAACATTAGAACCACAGTATGTATGAATTCAGTTCAAATGTAAATAAGAAATTGTATACACTTGATTCCTTTAATTATTACTGCCTATTGCTTTCTCCCTTCTCATCTCCCTAAAATCAGTGTTCCGTAGATTTACTGTGTTAAACTATAATTCCATCCTTGGTTCTTTATGGTCATACAATGAAATTTCCAAGACAGAGTAGCTAATCTATAGTATAAATCTTTGAAGCCAACATGCCACAATCTAATTGGGTTTGGTCTATGCAGAAAGGTAAGTCAAATTTGGAACTTAAAATTTGGGCTTCCCATTCAAGTTTTCTTAGGCTTGAAAATACCAAAGCCTACCAAGGCCGGTCACCTTGCTACCACTAGAAGTCCTCCCTATTCAAAACTTAAAGGGGACTACACAGTTGTCTCGAGGAAAGTTGATCTTGTCTACAACACAAAGTCTACTAGGTTCAATATGAACAATTCAGTCAGAACTTGTGTCTATGTGAACCCAGCTAGGCTGATGGGTTGTCTGGGACTCTGTAGGAAAGACCTAAGGAAAGTAAGAAAGCTTCTTCTTCTTTTTTGTTTTTTTTAAAGCAAGCTCTATGCACAGTGTGGGGTTTGAACTCATGACCCTGCGATCAAGAGTCGCATGCATGCTCCCTGACTGAGCCAGCCAAGTGCCCCCAGAAAGCTATTCTGAATGAATATTTAGAATACGTTTCCTCATCTCGGCCCAGTATTAAAACAGAATTTTCTGAAGAGTGGCTGCTATTATCAGATGTCAATTGAGGGTTGGGGGAAATCATGGTGAATGGTTTGGAAAGTGCTGGTTAAACAAAGTTAACTAGGTTTCCTTACAGCAGGACTTCTCGGTATGTCACTTTGTGCTGTGACATTCCTAAAAGGGAGTTATCAAATGTAATGTGTCATAAATATACACAAGCATATAAAAACATCTAAAAGTGATATCCTAATATATTACCAGTGCTTACCATCTTTGGGTGGTTGGATTAGGGAGTTTATTTTTTATCATTTTATGATTTATCTGTAATAACCACCTATTGCCTTAATAGGAATTTTTTAAAGTTCATTTAAAAAGTAACTTTACCTTGCCTGCTTGGGCAAGTTGAGAGTGTAAAGTCCATTGAGGGGCACCTGGGTGGCTCAGTCAGTTAAGCATCAGCTTCGGCTCAGGTCATGACCTCAGGGTACTGAGATCAAGCCCCCCATCCCGTTGGGCTCCTTGCTCAGCAGGGAGACTGCTTCTCCCTCTCCCTCTGCCACAGCTCCCTCTGTCTGTGCTCTCTATCTATGTGTTAAACAACTAAATAAAATCTTAAAGAAAAACAAAGTCCATTGAAAAAACATACTTAATGATGAAAACGGAACAGATACAAATCTTAAGATAGAAAAGGGTAAAGATCAATTTAGGTAAATGCTTTGAACAGATTTAATTTCTTGGGCAATTAATTTGATTCTAAGAAATACAGCAGCTGATTGTAGGGCAAAAGTAGAAAACCCTTTGCATGACATGGTCACATTCTGACAACAGAAGACATTTAAACTCGTCTGTAAATTTCTTCTGGCATGCTTATGACTCTTTAATTGGTTTGTTAATACAGCATTTAACTTATAAATGGTTCTAGAGAAGCATGTTTGTTATATCTTGAAACACAGGTGTTTGATATTTTGGAGACAAAAAACAAAAATGCAACTTTTCTTGGGAGATGGTTTGGGAGATATGTGAAGACTGTGGAGCCCTGCCCGTGACAGAGTGTTCTCTGGTGCTCACTACACTGTGGACCCAGGGCATTCCCTCTCACATCCTTCAGCTCTAGTCCAAGTAGAAGTGAGAAAGCCTTCTTTTTGACTATTTATAACATCATATTTTGCTTCTCATCTTTCCCTCCTCTTCTCTTTTTCTCTTTTCTCTCTTTCTTGAGAGGGGGCAAGACAAAGCAAGGACAAAGGCAAATTTTCCTTTGATCCCTGGCCCTTTGATGGAATTTCTAGGGTTGTCAAATCATAAATTCTTCCTTTCTTACTTAAAAGTTAAAAAAGTATAGGTATGCCTAAGGTTCAACTGCTCTCTGGCAACAGAAGTGCAAGATACAATTTTATAATTATTGACTAAAGTGAGAAATGATAAATATCTTCTAAAACTTCCATAGATCCACACTTTCCCACTCTGACTCCCACTATAGTTAACCTCTGTTTTTCAATTGAGGGAAAAGACAAATATTCAAAATTTCTCATTAAATTCTTATGTATGTCCTAACTTTGTCGAGCAAATGAATGACATCTTTTTGTTGCTTTTCAAATTATAGGATTTCTTTTTTTGTTCTCACTGACGTTTTCATTTCATTTTCAGATATAAATAGGTATAAATTCTCAGAAGTCATACATATTTCATTTTGTTCATTTATCATAAGCTACTTTCTTCTTCCTTTGTACTTACCGACTATAGTAATAAAAGGGATATTAAAAAATGGAGGGCCAGGCCATACTCTTTCCAATAGAAAGGAGTATGCTAAAATATGATAGTGATAAAACTTCATTGCTCATGAAAATTGAGTCATTGGGTTGGAGTGGTATTTTAGTTTTGCATTTAGCTGAATTAATACACATAAGTTGACTATCTGAGTATTAAGATTTTAAAAATGTAAACCAGTGTACTAACATGAATGGAAACATAGACAATTTATCTACATCTACTTTATAATGTAAGTATGTGTTGCTTTATATCTTCAGAACAAAAAGCATTATATATCATAACAACATTCAGTGACATTCCCATAAGTGGTTTAATATAATACAATAATATCAAGGTAACTTTCAAATAAATGTGATAACAAAACAGAAGGAACTAAGAACAGCAGTTAAAAAACAAAACAAGGGGTGCCTGGGTGGCTCAGTTGGTTAAGCGACTGCCTTTGGCTCAGGTCATGGTCCTGGAGTCCTGGGATTGAGTCCCGCATAGGGCTCCCGGCTCGGCGGGGAGCCTGCTTCTCCCTCTGACCCTCTCCCCTCTCATGCTGTTTCTCTCTCTCTCTCAAATAAATAAATAAATAAAATCTTTAAAAAAACAAAAAAAAAAACAAAAAACAAAACAAAACAAAAAACTATAGGGGTGCCTGGGTGGCAGAGCTGGTTAGGTGTCTGACTCTTGGTTTCGGTTCAGGCCATAATCTCATGGGTCCTGAGATTTAGCCCCACATCAGGCTCTGTGCTCAGTGCAGAGTCTACTTGATTTTCTCTCTCCCTCTCCCTCTGTCTCTCTCCACCACGTGTCTGAGCTCTGTGCTCAGTGCAGAGTCTACTTGAGTTTCTCTCTCCTTCTCCTTCTGTCCTTCTCCACCACCTCTCCCTCTCTAAATAAATAAATCTTAAAAAAAAAAATGAACTATATTCATTTGGCATTTCTGTGACAAAGAAATTAGTCAACTTAAAAACACTATCCTTCCTAAATCTTTCCATTATGTGTGTTATCCAATTTTGCTATTTAAATTAAACTGTAACACATCAGAGAAACAAAACAGTTATTTACTAGCTCCACAGAGCACTTGCCTAATTGTATGGAATATAGCAGAGATAATGAGCTCATTGTGAACTGCAACAGCCATATAGCGTGGCTCATGAAATGCTGATGGCACTGTCCGCACTGCATAGCAGAGATAAACACCCCACAAGAGGAATAAAAATTCAGCTGTGAGAAGAACAAAAAAAAGAAAAACAATTTTCCATTAGTTTTACAGGTGAATAAAAATGCAAAATTTAAGTTCTTTAGCATGCATTTTTTGTGTTATAGAAACATAAGTTCAGTTAGAAATAGATGCATAAAAATGTCACTCATATGTGAAAACATATGACATATATTTATTTTAAGATTTTATTCAGTGTAACAGAAGATTTTTCAAAGGTATAGTTTGGTTTTTGTTCTTTGTTTGTTTGTTTGTTTTAAAACAGTGGTTGGTTTCTCAGATTTTTCTTTTGCTAATACCTGGCTTTTTCCTCAAACAATTGTAAAATAATTTTCCACATCCCCAACCTAAGTTTGAAATATTCATAGAGCATCTGGGTCATGATGAAGTCTTCAAGGCAACAAAAGCTTATAATGTGTTTATATGCAGCTTCCAGAAATTTAAGCTCTTACTGTATTGAATCTGGTTCCACAACATAAAGATACCCATTGCCAGAAACGTGAGAAAATAGGTTGTTAAACATTCAGCGGCATATTTTATAAATGAACCATTATTTCTTCACACATGACAGAAATCATATCTTTTGTGGGTGGAGTGTTGAAGTCTTCATAAAATTCACAATCACCTTGTTTGCGGGCTCAAGCCAGAAGAGACAAGCATAGGATAGCAGTTAAGGATAAGGGCTTCAGACTCACACTAGACCTGATTGGAAATTCTGGCTCTATCTCTAATTAACTTTGTATAATCTGAGGCAACTTAACCTTTCTGGCCACAGTTACCTTATCTGGAAAATGAGAATAACAAAAGTACATATTTCATGAGATTATTTGTTAATGAAATCAAATAATGAATAGAAAGCACTTAACATGGTTTCTGACATAGTAGATATTAGAAAAATAAAGGAATAAATAAAAACACATGTTAAATGGTTCTTACTGTTAAATATCTCATTTGACTTTTTTTTCAAATTGAACATTGCTATTTTAACTCATTCTGACCAATAATTGTTCAATCCATTTTATCATGTCTTAGCAACATGACCTCGTTGGAAGATAGCATCTAAAGAAGATAATATCTAATTAATAAGAATAAAGAAGAAAGCTTTAATTTGGAGAAAATGTTTCATCAAATGCATCACCTAGAGGTAACCTACTTGCGTATCTATTGAAACACTGACTTCCATTCCCATATGCCAAGTTATTTACCTGCCAACCTGTCAGCATATTTTTGTCAGTAATTAAACAATAGGTAGTGCCCTAATTATTGAAAATCCCTTAAGTACAGGGTATCAGATTGGATAAAAAAAACAAGACCCATTGATATGCTGTCTGCAAGAGACTCATTTTAGACCCAAAGACACTTCCAGATTTAAAGTGAGGGGGTGGAAAGCCATTTACCATGCTAATCAAAAGAAAGCTGGGGTGGCAATCCTATATCAAATTAGATTTAAAACCAAAGACTATAATAAGAGATGAGGAAAGACACTACATCATACTTAAAGGGTCTATCCAACAAGAAGATCTAACAATTGTAAATATCTATGCCCCTAACATGGGAGCAGCCAAATATATAAGCCAATTAATAACAAAAGCAAAGAAACACATCAACAATAATACAATAATAGTAAAGGACTTTAACGCCCCCCTCACTGAAATGGACAGATCATCTAAGCAAAAGATCGACAAGGAAATAAAGGCTTTAAATGACACACTGGACCAGATGGACTTCGCAGATATATACAGAACATTCCATCCCAAAGCAACAGAATACACATTCTTCTCTAGTGCACATGGAACATTCTCCAGAATAGATCACATCCTGGGTCACAAATCAGATCTCAACTGGTACCAAAGGACTGGGATCATTCCCTGCATATCTTCAGACCACAATGCTGTGAAACTAGAACTCAATCACAAGAGGAAAGTTGGAAAGAACTCAAATACATGGAATCTAAAGAGCATCCTACTAAAGAATGAATGGGTCAACCAGGAAATTAAAGAAGAATTAAAAAAATTCATGGAAACCAATGAAAATGAAAACACAACTGTTCCAAATCTTTGGGATCCAGCAAAGGTGGTCCTAAGAGGAAAGTATATAGCAATACAAGCCTTTCTCAAGAAACAAGAAAGGTCTCAAATACACAACCTAACCGTACACCTAAAGGAGCTGGAGAAAGAACAGCAAAGAAAGCCTAAACCCAGCAGGAGAAGAGAAATAATAAAGATCAGAGCAGGAATCAATGAAATAGAAACCAAAAGAACAGTAGAACAGATCAACGAAAGTAGGAGGTGGTTCTTTGAAAGAATTAATAAGATTGATGAACCCCAGCCAGACTTATCAAAAAGAGAAGAGAAATGACCCAAATCAACAAAATCATGAATGAAAGAGGCGAGATCACAACCAACACCAAAGAAATACAATTATAAGAACATATTATGAGCAACGATATGCCAGCAAATTAGATAGTCTGGAAGAAGTGGATGCATTCCTAGAGAAGTATAAACTACCAAAACTGAACCAGGAAGAAGTAGAAACCTGAACAGACCCATAACCAGTAAGGAAACTGAAGCAGTAATCAAAAATCTCCCAAAAAGCAAGAGCCCAGGGCCAGATGGCTTCCCAGGGGAATTCTACCAAACATTTAAAGAAGAATTAATACCTATTCTTCTGAAACTGTTCCAAAAAATAGAAATGGAAGGAAAACTTCCAAACTCATTTTATGAGGCCAGCATTACCTCGATTCCAAAACCAGACAAAAACCCCATCAAAAAGGAGAACTACAGAACTACATCCCTGATGAATATGGATGCAAAAATTCTCACCAAAATACTAGCCAATAAGATCCAATAGTACATTAAAAGGATTATTCATCACAACCAAGTGGGATTTATTCCTCTAAAACCCTGATGTGGTCAGAAGCCAAATAAAAAATAAGCCATACTCAAAGATCTCCATGAGATTTATTCAGTCCCAATTATTCAGTATGTTGGCCACTGGCCATGTGCTATAAATGTTCTTTCCAGCCGAGTTCTACTGGATTAGGAAAAGCAAATCAGGAAATGCTGAGGTCTTTGTGTAGAATGTAGAACTTTCCTTCCCAACTCTTGTATTTCTGTCCATGGTACTGCTGTTGCCTGTTTACCCGGGTTTGAAATTTCAGCACTGCCTTTCACTGATACATTTCTTTTTTTAATTTATTTATTTATAGTTTTTTTTATTCTTATGTTAATCCCCATACATTACATCATTAGTTTTAGATGAAGTGTTCCATGATTCATTGTTTGTGCACAACACCCAGTGCTCCATGCAGAATGTGCCCTCCTCAATACCCACCACCAGGCTAACCCATCCTCCCACACCCCTCCCCTCTAGAACCCTCAGTTTGTTTTTCAGAGTCTATCGTCTCTCATGGTTCATCTACCCCTCCGATTTCCCCCACTTCATTCTTCCCCTCCCGCTACCTTCTTCTTCTTCTTCTTCTTTTTTTTTTCTTAACATATATTGCATTATTTGTTTCAGAGGTACAGATCTGAGATTCAACAGTCTTGCACAATTCACAGCGCTTACCAGAGCACACACCCTCCCCAGTGTCCAAAACCCAGTCACCCCATCCCTCCCACCCCACCCCCCACTCCAACCACACTCAGTTTGTTTCCTGCGATTAAGAATTCCTCATATCAGTGAGGTCATATGATACATGTCTTTCTCTTTTTGACTTATTTCACTCAACATAATATCCTCCAGTTCCATCCACGTCGTTGCAAATGGCAAGATCTCATTCCTTTTGATGGCTGCATAATATTCCACTGTATATATATATATACCACATCTTCTTTATCCAGTCATCTGTCGATGGGCATCTTGGCTCTTTCCACAGTTTGGCTATTGTGGACATTGCTGCTATAAACATAGGGGTGCACGTACCCCTTCGGATCCCTACTTTTGTATCTTTGGGGTAAATACCCAGTAGTGCAATTGCTGGATCATACGGTAGCTCTATTTTCAACTTTTTGAGGAACCTCCATACTGTTTTCCAGAGTGGCTGCACCAGCTTGCATTCCCACCAACAGTGGAGGAGGGTTCCCCTTTCTCCGCATCTCCGCCAACATCTGTCATTTCCTGACTTGTTAATTTTAGCCATTCTGACTGGTGTGAGGTGGTATCTCATTGAGGTTTTGATTTGGATTTCCCTGATGCTGAGCGATATTGAGCACTTTTTCATGTGTGTGTTGGCCATTTGGATGTCTTCTTTGGAAAAATGTCTGTTCATGTCTTCTGCCCATTTCTTGATTGGATTCTTTGTTCTTTGGGTGTTGAGTTTGATGAGTTCTTTATAGATTTTGGATACTAGCCCTTTATCTGATATGTCATTTGCAAATATCTTCTCCCATTCTGTCGGTTGTCTTTTGGTTTTGTTGACTGTTTCCTTTGCTTTGCAAAAGCTTTTTATCTTGATGAAGTCCCAATAGTTCATTTTTGCCCTTGCTTCCCTTGCCTTTGGCGATGTTTCTAGGAAGAAGTTGCTTCGGCTGAGGTCAAAGAGGTTGCTGCCTGTGTTCTCCTTTAGGATTTGGATGGACTCCTGTCTCACATTGAGGTCTTTCAACCATTTGGAGTCTATTTTTGTGTGTGGTGTAAGGAAATGGTCCAGTTTCATTCTTCTGCATGTGGCTATCCAATTTTCCCAACACCATTTGTTGAAGAGACTGTCTTTGTTCCATTGGACATTCTTTCCTGCTTTGTCAAAGATGAGTTGACCATAGAGTTGAGGGTCCATTTCTGGGCTCTCTATTCTGTTCCATTGATCTATGTGTCTGTTTTTGTGCCAGTACCATGCCATCTTGATGATGACAGCTTTGTAATAGAGCTGGAAGTCCGGAATTGTGATGCCGCCGGCTTTGCTTTTCTTTTTCAATATTCCTCTGGCTATGCGGGGTCTTTTCTGGTTCCATACAAATTTTAGGATTATTTGTTCCATTTCTTTGAAAAAAGTGGATGGTATTTT